CCACTATGAATTTGTTGAGGATTCCAGCTAGCACCCATGTTTCTTGATGGGATTGAGGACTGTTGCTTTCAATATGAATGTCACACTGGTACATGCAAACTTTGATACTCCTAATTACAGGATATTTAATATGGCTGTCTCATGCATATAATCGTGAAAATCTTGGAGATGCTTGCACTGTCTGCCTGGTTGAAAATGAATTACAGCTTTTTGAAATTTATTTGATTTGTTTATGTGTGCTTATTTTCCCTCAGTCTGCATGTCAAGCTGCTGCTGCCTTCTGTAAAGCGAAGGGGAAGAATATTTCAAAGTTAGCAATGCAATACAGTTTGGCAAATAAAGATATATCCTCGGTGCTGGTTGGCATGAACTCTGTTAGACAGGTTCTCTTTCATTATATTGCGCCTTGCTTTCGTTATTTTTTTTGTTGTGGGAGTGTTAGGCTCAATTTGTTTGTCACAGTATCTGAAAGCTTTTTATCATTGTATTGTTTGATCATTTCCTCTGGCATGGTCCTGTTAGCTCAGATATATAAATATGACCACATCTGCATTTTGTGTGAGGTTTTTGTTTGCACATCATCTGTTTGTAAGTCAGCTATATAGGAGTAAGTCCAGAATTTTGCCATACAGCATCAATTCTAAAAGCTGAAAAAGTAATTTAGAGGAAGATAGCAGCTATTTCGTTGAACTAGTATTCATTTTAACGTGCAATATGTCTTGAGTTGTTATTCTTTCCATGGCAATGATGTAAAAAATATACGAACACCATGTACATCATAATTGTTTGAGTGATATGCCTTATTTGATGATCAGGTCAAGGAGAATGTTTATGCTGCTACGGAACTTGCTACATTTGGCAAGGATCAGGAAACTTTATCAGAAGTTGAAGCAATTCTGAGCCCTGTGAAGAATCAGACTTGGCCTAGTGGAATCCAAGAGAGCTGATTCTTTGCTGTCCTATGACCACTCCACCTTTGTACTTTGTGCAGTTCAAATTGCCATTAGCAGTTCGCCTAATCCATATTAGTTACATTGGAGGGCCCATTCTATTATAATCCCACCCAGCCAGGTAAAGAAAATAATATTTTGTAATGAGAAGAGGGTTCGTCATTGTGCTGATGGATCCAAAGTTCAATAAATATGTAAGACATCCTCGATTATCCTGGGATAGTTTCTAAAAGTGTGATCAAATTATTGACATTAAAACTTTGGTCATTTCAAAGTTGTATAAAGTCTGCTTGCTAGTCAATCCTTCATTTTCCGCATCTGACATTTAATGCTCAAATTATTTTGTTGCATAATTTAGTGCATTGCCAAACTCAAACCCTTTAATTTGCTTAGCAGTGTATTCTTGATTATTTTAAATAAATTAATAAATCTGCACTGAATCAATTCCTACTGGGATGCGTTATTATGATGATTTTTGTTTTCTTTGTTTTTTTCCTCTTAATTATAAATTACGATTCTCTTGATCGTGCATGTTTTATTATAAGATGGTAAGATAACACAGGCAGGGTTGGCCACGTTAAGTAGAATGGCGGCCGTGAAAAATTCGTTGTTGCTATTAAGTCTCTGAAGTCGGCCAGTTATATAGGAAAGATTTCTGCGACCAGGTTTTTTTCCCCTTTTATTAAGTATTCATAGGTTCTACGGAAACCGACCTCTAGATACCAAAATTGGAAAAATTACTGTGTCTAGAAGCTTTAGCCAAATCGCGATTCCTCTAGAACCAGGGTTGCTACAAAAAGGAGAGGCTGCTGTGGACAAAAAGAGTATAGAAAGATGTCATGCTATAGCCATATGCCGCGTGAAATTGTGGAAGAAATACTGCAAAAATTACCTGTTAAATCACTGTTACGATTCAGATGTGTTTCAAAATCATGGTGCTTTTAATTACTTGCCCTGCTTTTATTTCTATGCACACCAGCATTGCCATGAAGAACAAAAGGAAGTCGCAGTTTCTGATGGAAATCATATATAATGACGAGAAGCGAAATTCAAAAACTGAATTCAAATTACATGATGAGGATGGTGGGTTCTTTGTTAAAATAAAAATAAAAAATCGACTTCCCCCCTTATGGCAGATGATGTTAACTTCAAAAAATTTAATGTTGTTGGTTAATGTAATGGCTTGAGATGTTTAGAAGATTTGCTTAGCTGAAACCTTTGTTATTTGGAATCCTATACTGAGAAAGCATGCGGCCCTTCCCTTTCCTTGTATTGCTAAAACTGAAGATCTTTATTCTAGGGCTGTAGGGTTTTTGGTTTGATGTCAGAACTAGTGACTGCAAGCTTGTCGATATTGTGCGTCTTCAAGATAATCTTCAGCCTCTGGTAAAAGTCTACGAGCTACATAGAAACACGTGAAGGGAAATTGGCAGCACTCCCCGACTATTTGTAAACCGATCTTCCGCTTTCTTGAATGCAGCTCTCCATTGGCTTGGATATCGTAATAAAGATGATCCATTTGACGATGTAGGCTATGTGAGGGTGGTGTTGTTCGATACGACCAGTAAAGTATTCAGGGAGACGTAATTTCCAGAAGCTGTTGGTTCCAAGTCAGTAGTCATTGTGCATGGAAAATTGGATTAAAGTAAAATTGACAATTATCTGCACAAATTTGAAAAGGTACTAGAGTTCAGGGAGAACGGGAAACTTCTCTTACTGCAAATTCGCCGCTTGGTTTTGTATGATCTTCAGACTGTGAAAGAATACTTGCTATCTGTTTTCCTCACTCCGTACTGTTTTGGGGAAGGAATTATGTAGAGACTCTAGCCTTGCTGGATGGGTCTCAAGGAAGCTTATGAATGTAACCACAATTAACATTACTGCGTAACTCTTCGCAATATAATATTAACTCAGAAGAGGCCACTTCTCAACAACCGAAGAAGAGAGTGATTCAATTGAACCAAACATATCTGAAGGAAACTCATGTAAAAACACACACAGTTACATGGTCACACAATCATATCTGTCGATGCTAAACCCGTTGTTACTAATCTGTGAAGACCACATGTAAAAACACACACAGATACATAGTTACACAAACATTTCTTTTAAGAGATCCAGAAGACTTGGCAGAGAATAGCCATCTGAAGAAGACTAGGTTTTCTACCAAAAGGCAGAAGCTAGAGGAGGGAGAGTCGGAGAAGATGTCAAACTATAGCTATATATCTTGTGAAAGTTTTGGAAGAATACTGATAAGGTTGCCTGTTAAAGTCGCTCTGACGATTCAGGTGTGTTTCAAAATCACGGTGCTTTTTACTTAGTTGCCCTGCTTTTATTCCCAAGCCCACCAGCATTACCATGAAGAACTAAAGGAAGTAGCAGTTTCTGATGGAAATCATAAACTATAACAACGACAGCAATGAATTGGGATTTAAATACATATTACACGATGATAATGCTGGGGCAAAGGGTTTCGGTTTGATGCCAGAGTTATGCATCGTTGTTATAAAGTGCAGCCTCTGGTATGAGCTGAAGAGAAGCTTGGAGAGGGACATTGGCAGCACTCCTTCACTTTCTAGAATGTAGCTCTCATTTGGCCTGGATTTCATAAAAAAGACGATGATGATCCATTAGACAGGTACTGAGACTACGAGCGAGTGGTTTTGTTTGATACAAGGAAGTATTCAAGGAGATGGAGCTGCCACACGCTCAAGAACAAGCAAAAACTTGGGAGTAACTCGAGAATTGATTTCACTGATAGGTGATAGAAGAAAATGACCATTGGTTATATTTTTAACAGATAGGTGATAAAACAGTATGGCGAGCCCAGTTCTTGGATTATACGAACGAGTGTTAAGAGTTTCCTGGCATGGTTATTAAACCATGTCAAGGAATTAACCCAACCAAGTACCTATGTCTCAGATCATCCGGGTTTTCCCAATCAACCCCAGTTTTCCCAATCAGCTAGAGCTAGTTGTGGAGGTGAGATCGAAGAAGAAATGAAGAATGAACTAGGAGGGGGAAGAAAAGTAAGGGATGAAAGGGAAGTAGGGACAAAACATCGTATATTAAGAAGAAGAAAAGTCAGGTCTTACATGGGTTACATCAGGTTGATATACAAGTCACTCGGGTTTGACTGAATTAATTGCAACTCCGGTTTTTTCTTTGTAAAACCCAGCCAAGACCCTAGGTCACCTAGGTCCTGCATTAACTCGTCTAGATCACTCGTCGGGCTGACAACAATGGTTGAGGGAGAATCGAAAACTTCTCTTGCTTTTCTATATTTCATCTATGCTGGTTGGCATGAACTCTATTAGACAGATGCAATTCTGTTTCATTTTCTTCCCTTGATTTCCACACTTTACTTTGCTTGTCGCTCTTTTTCAAAAGCTTTACCGTTGCATATTGTTCAACTAATTCTGCTGGGACGAGAGATTCATTTGACTGTGGACACGCTCTTTTATTTCATCTGTCTGCAAGTTAGCTATAGCATAAATGCACAGCCAAGACCTCCATTATGCCAATTAGTCCAGAGAGAGAGAAATATACGCAAAATCCATTGAAATATATAGTTACTTATAATAGAGAGGGCAGAAGCCATGGCTATAGAGGAGAAAAGGCCTGCTCCCACTAACTTAACGCTCCTACGTTCAAATTCCGTCGTCAATATCATCAATACCGACCAAGTAGTGCATCTGATTCGTCTGGTTTACGGTTTTTCAGAGTAACTATGACAAAGTCTGAATATCGTGGATGCCATAACTGCGCAACTGACTATCATTCTTTGATAAAAGGGTCGAGGACAATTAATGTTTTGCTGTCACCAAACCTGCTACTTTTATCAAGGTTCAGGGAATTTTATTTCGAGGTTGTAGTAATTCGGGAGACAAATGAGGAATCAACTTCGCCAAGTCTGTTAAGATGGACCAGGTTCATTAAACTAAGACAGTTCGATTTGTTAGTGCAGTAGATTCGCAGTGTTAGGATTGGGGAATAACCTATTATCAAGAACTCCTAAATAAGTCGACGACATTAACATAACAAAAAGGATAAAAAAGAAAAGGGGCAGTATTTCATTTCTTATCGAATTCATGGCATTGAATGTACATTCTTCCATCTCTATCACCAAATTTATATAACATGAATGGCAGCTACAGCTGAACAAGGATCTTGCTATCTGCAATGATAGTTTAACCAAGTATCATCGGAAACTAAGATGCTTGCAAAGCACTTAATCAGTCTCAACTGGCCCTGCTGCGTATCTTTGCATTACTGCTAACTGGCAACCTGCTGCAATGGTGGCCAAGCAATCTCATTATCATCTGTGTAACCCTGAACAAGGAAATCTGCACAGTTCTTTCGGCACCCATGGTTATAGGGGTTTCGGAAACGCCCATCTGGACCACGAAGATACCCATAACGAATAGCATTCGCAAGTTCATTGGTTGTGATATTCCGAGCTATCTGTAATATCCATGAAAAGTCTCCATTACACTTGAAACTTCAACCCAAACTAGTTTCCAATAATGCACGAGCAATAATCAATTCATCTTCTCCCACCCCAAAAACACAAATCACAAGACAAGGAAAAAAAGAAAAATTGAAAAAGTCTCATCCCAAACCAATTGTAGTATCCATAATAGTTTAATTATTATGTCTGCCAAAACTTTGAGCAACAGTGGCAATTGAAGAATGCGACTGACATGTCTTCAGCCCACGGCAAAAGCACTAATAGGCAAAGACAAACTTTGCTAGCAAACAGGGTTTTAGTCCATTACCTGAGATGCCTGAGCTGTTGTTAAAGTAGTGGCAGCAATAAAAACAATCACGTCCAACACCAAAAATGCAACAACACCAGGATGATGAACTACCACATAACGAATCCAACTTTCTTCAATATGCAATGACTGTGCAGCTTTCCAAACCCCTGTCATGAAACAGAAATGGCAGTCACAAACTCCGCAATGAAATAACAGATATGGAATAGCAAAATAAAAGAATCCAAGAAATTGGAGATGAGTTGCCTTTCACCCAACAGGAAAGAATTAAAAGTAAATTTCTAGCAACCCACGCACTTTGAACTGCGATGATGCCAGCAAGAAATGATGCTGAAGTTGCCAAGCATATAAAGATGAAAAAGTCTCGTTTGTTCCTCTGCAAGATACACAATGAAGACAACTGATGAGGTAATGAAGAGACAAGGAAATTATACTTCAGTGCAAAGCCGTGCAAAGCATCTTACTTGCCGATTAGCCAAAAATGTACAGAATGGAGAGATAACATTGAAGGGCTCTTCTAATAACTACTATAAGAGATCCTAATGATTGAAAATGGGCATACACCCAGAGAACAAAAGTTCATAGACTTTCTTGTCATCTTTGGATTGTAGAATAATTATGTCACAAAGTATTGTATGATGAATTAGTGACATCACTTGTGGTATTTCCAAAGGCTGTATTAAGATAAGCGAAGAGACATCAAGTGGCCTTATTTGTTATAGATATCCAAGCAAATGACATCATACAGAGAAACCAAATATTTCAATCAGAGATTCCAATAAAAGGCATCTCATAAATCCAAATTATATGCCATAATTACCGGGACTGAAACAGTAAAGCTTAATTTCTCACCTTGCCAACACAATTAGATATCCATGGGCAATGATGGTCAAACTGCTCTACGCAGCGTTTGCACGTAGGGCAGTGCTTACTGCGAACAGGTCTTATTATCTGAAAAGTTAATTGAATACTTTAGTTGAGATAGCATTTCAACCATCTTAAACATAAAAATTAGAAAATTAAAGGTCCAACTACTTGACCTTGCATGTAGGGCAAAGCTGAGACCAATTCCCTGTCCATACCGAGGAGTTGTTCAAATCAATATTCAACAAGGGATCCTGCAAAACATCAGGTAATGATCATCAAAAAGAGAGTGAAAAAATGATAGAAATGAACCTAGCCATGGATTTGGACAGCTTTGACCATAATCTTGTAACCATTGACCAACTGGTAACAAAAGCCAGCCCACCAAAAGGGGAATACAGTAAGCAGACCAATTCAATTTTTTGCCTAGCTAACAGTTACCATAAACTAGCAATAGACCTTCAGTAGACAAAACACTTTACTAAACGAACAATGACAAAAAAATTAAACAGAGATACTGCATACCTCTGAATCAGTATCTTTATTCAAGTCTCCAAGTCTTTTGATAAAACCCGGGTCTTTACTGCAGAGAAAGAACATGAAACAAGTAATTTCTGGAATAAAAATTTTGAGGAAGTGAAAGGGTAGCAGCGTACATTCTATGATAAGTGTTTGCAAGTTGAAAAACCACAAATTTAAACAAGCAGATTCCAGTGTAACTGCAATTTAGCTTTTAAACAGGATAGTTAAATAGACAGTCTGCAGCAAACTTCAGGTTAATGCTTCAGCAAAGGATGCCGAGCATAAGGGTTAATTTCACAGAACGTATTTTGTTAATAACATCTTGAGATCACAAAGATTTGATCAGCAGAATGTTAAAGATGTGGAGGATCTTGGAAAGCAAAATATGCATGCTGACTGCATTGGGAAGGAAACCAAGTTCAAGGTATCAGCAGCAAAAGTCAAAGCCAACTACATTTTTATGGCTCTACAAAATCCACAAAAGAAACAAATATTCCAAGCAAAACCCAACCAGTATTAGTAGCAGAGAGATATTACCTACTGCACCTGTAGAACATAATAATCGAAACAAAAGCTAGAGAAAGAGCAGTCCATCCCCAAATTCCAACAACAGCAGTTACCTTTGGAAGGTTTGGAGCTACCATGCAAGCGAGGTGAATCACAATTAGAACAGAATTTATGCCCATCGCGACATAAAATTGAAGTACAACAACTCATTTACCTGCAATAACTGAGTTGATGAAGAGGAAGATGAGAATGAGTATAATGGACAACAAGATAGGAGCAAGACCAACATCTCCCATCTTCCCACTACGAATTTTGTCTTTCCAGCGGTTGCTTTGCGCCCGCTGTGCATTTGACTGAATAAAATCAAGAGAAAATATATGAAAACTTTCCCATTATTTTTTAAGATCTAGATGCTCTAAAGACACAATCTTTCAGAACATGGTGAAACTAAATCTCAGACAGCAGTTGATTAACAACACTGAATTTAAGACAAACAGAAAGAAAGTGTTTTAAATGTACCAATTCAATAGCTATAGCAAATGACATTCTATTAATAATCATTTTCAAGACATCTGTGCAGATATAAAGTCACCCATTGAGCCAAAAAGACTTCTATCTTTCATGAAAAAAATTGAATTACTCAGATTGGTGGTGAATTCTTTCATCTCTGCTTGCCTTTTCCTCAAAAAATTATAGCCCCACCACAAAATGTCAATACACAATAGACATGACATGATCTCACCTTATGAAAAAAAATAATGTATGGTTTGTATAGGTCCATCCTCGTACAGTAATTAGACCAAAGACAGTAATGCACAAGACACTTCAAAAGGTGTCTGGCACTTCCTCTCAAAGAGAATAAAATAAAGAAAGGACATCAAAGAAGGCGGTGCAATGATTCAAACTACTAGATGACTCCTCCAGTATAATGCAACACAGCACAAAATTTTCAACTGCAAGATACATTGTTCAGTAACATGGTTAAGTTAATATTTAAGAGGGTTAAGACTCATAACAACTAAGTGCAAGCAAATTCCAGCAACTCATCCCAATTTCACCATGATCAATCACAGCAATTTATTCCCAATATCCACCATAACAAAATGTTCTGCATATTTTGTTCAGTAACATGCAAAAGTTGACATTTAGGAGGGTTAAGACTTATGAGAACCAAGTGCAAGCAAATCCCAAAAACTTCCAACTTTCACCATAGAAAATCACAGCATGTTATCTCCTAAAGTTCACCACAAAAAAATAAAAAAATTCATAGATGGCTGAATCAGACCATTTTCCCCAATAGGACACCAATAGGTCTCTCATCCTTATAGATGCTCACATTGGCAGGTATTGGTTTAAAGTCATCTGCATACCATTCTACCGATGGTAACATCGTTATAAAGTACGTACGAGGAAAAGGGCGATATGCCGATGACCTTTATCAGATGCAATCTGAGCAGGAGTAAATCCAGCTTTATCTTTCACAGCAAGTTCCTGCTTTGTGCCAGCATGTACAAGAATAGTGCATGCCTCTATATTTCCCCTTAATGCAGCCCAGTGTAAAGGGGTACAACCTGATACAATTGGTCATTAAACGTCAGCACGGTTCTATAGATGTATAGTAAAATGGTTGATTATTGTCAAGAGTAATAAAATTGAAAATGCCAAAATGGGATACAATTCTAAGGAATTTAACATAAGTTATTAATCTTCATGAATATGTGGTATAGTTTTTAATTGCCGAGAAAAAAAAGGTGATATAGTATTTTTTCTATATTACACTACTAATGGCCTTGATTCCATAAATCATATACCATTAAATCTTAAAATATGAATATACCAAGAACCATAAAGCGAACAATAAAGTTTGAGTGCAATGACAGTTCCAGAACTCCAACAACTGCATGTGACAAAATTATGTCCTTCAACTTAGCTCCACTCCCCCTCTTCTACAAAACTTTGACAACAATTGTGAGGAATCATTGCAGCTATCCTCAGCCTGTGAGTATATCAGAATAGAAATGTGTTTGTCTATATTAAACCTGCAAAACTCATCTCCAGATATATTTATTAAAAGGATCCACGTCTTGGTTTATCATTTAGAGACCATGTATAATTAGCATATTGAATGACAAGTACGTAATTGCTTCCTGTTTTCCTTCTCGGGAACATGCTCCTGCTGACTTGAAAAACATGTTCATCATTTCATTTTTTTGATGTCCCTGACTATTTCTTTCCACTGGAATATATACTTGAGCAAATAATATTTGTTAAATTCACAAAATTGTCCTAGAAGGAAATAATAAGAAATTTGAGAGAGCAAGCACATGACAACTGAGTAAAATAGTGATCATCACAGCCAATACTAGGTGAATTCCAAAGGAGATGAAGAATTACAAGATAGGATTCTACGGTGTTCTGACAATACCTTCTCGATCTTGTCTCCCTTGGTATGCGTCTCGAAATAGAAGTAGTCTAATTGTATCTGCATAACCCTTATAAGCAGCCCTGGTTCATTATAGCACAAAAATAAGTTTTCCACTAGTTCACACATTTTCAATAGAAATATTCTCCACATGACACCATTAACTTTAAGTTGCTAAGTCAGGAAATACCGTTAAAACTTATTATCTCTTTGACACTAAAATTACTGTTTGCAAAACTAGAATTTCAGTTACAAACAGATCTCGTCTTATCTGTTTGCATACACACGCACACACAAACCAATTCAACTAGCACTATATCATTGACATACATCACCAGAACAAAGAGCTGTAGGTTTTAAATATAAACTCCCCACACCATATCCCTAAAACATACCAATGAAGAGGGCTCCTCCCTTCATTATCAACTGCATCAAAATCAGCACCATATTTTGCTCCAATGTGATTCAAAAAGCCTGTTTGTCCGTACTGAGCAGCTACATGAACTGCCTACAGCACAAATTGGCATACATTAAAATAATACAAAAAAAATCAGAATACTGCCTAAAATCAGTCACAAAAATATCAGCCGAACAGTACTAAAGCAGGATAATAACAAAATGCAAAACATTTTTACCCGATACCCGTTAACATCAGCTGCTTCCACTCGTCCTCCATTCTGCAAAAGCACATCTGCCACCGCAATTGAACCTCTAACTGCCGCCCAATGCAGTGCTGTTTGCCTCACATTATCACTTTGATTTACATCTCCCCCGTGCTTCAAAAACATACAAATGAGATTACCAAAAAATAATAATAGTAAAAACACCAATCAAATGCAATTATACACTGAACACATACCCACTAATTACATCAATTTAAATAAAAAAAATGAAAAATTTACTCTTGCAATACCTCAATTATGTATTGGGCAACGTCGGGGAAATTGTTAAGAGAGGCCCATTGAAGAGCGTAATAACCATTACCGTCAGGGTTAGAGAGAGAAGCTTTATCTTCTTCGACAAATTTGCGTAATTTATCGAGATCACCGTAAGCAGAAGCAGAGAAAACATCGATCACGTTGACCGCGGAGCCGTTTGGGATTTGTTTGGATTCTGATGAAACTATCTCGATCTCTGAAGATGCCATTGGAGAATATCAGAGCTTTAGGGTTTAATTTTGGATTTGATAAATAAATTAGGGTTTCTAAGATTGGGGATTTAGGGTTTATGGTTCCCGATTTGATCTCGGAAATGACAGCAACGCATAGTTGCTCCTGTTCAGGGGATGATAATTAGGTTTACCTAGGTTTTTAACGCGCCAAAATTGACCCAGTGATGGGAAAAGTTGTGTTTATTAAATAACTAGGTTGTTCTGTTCTTGGTCGTCCGATCAAAAATCCGACGGTTTGTAATTGTCCTTGAGCAGATTTTAAAATTTTGAATTTGGAATTAATGTTGTTTACTTCGAAATATATAATATCGTATGTAGAATAAATTCAAGAGTGTGGATTAGTGTAGAAGATTTGCACCCTCTTTCCAGCTTACAGCGCCTAAAAATATTGTTAAATTATATTGCATATGCTAGAGGGTGAGTTTTTAAGAGTGTTTAAAAAATAATTTAATTGACATAAAAAAATAATTTAATAATATAAAAATATTGTTAAATTGTTTTCAATATGAAGGTGAGTTTTTAAGATTGTTTGAGAAAAAAATTTAATTGACATAAAAAATAATTTAATAATATAAAAATATATACATGTTGAGTTGTGTTATTACAGTGATAAAAATATGGTTGAGTGAAATGTTACTTTACTTTAAAATCTGTATTTTTACTTAGAAGAGTACAGACTCTTTAATTTTTTGGATTTCTTTGAAAATGTAATTTTGTTACATTTTAAAGTATTTTTTATTTGAAAATATATTAAAATAATATTTTATTTTATTTTATTTAAAAAATTACTTTTAACATCAATATATCAAAATAATTTTTAAAAATAAAAAATAAATTTTTAAAAAACATAATTTTAACTATATTTCCAAATAATATTTTATAGGAAACTAGTAATGATTTTGAGAAGATAACGAAGTGCAATTGAAAGGGAAAGTGAGTGATGAAAAATAACTTAATTAATATTTAAAAGTATATTTTTATCAAGGTTTTATATCGTCATTTTGCACTTGAAGTATTAATAACTCCTTAACTAAAGCTTGTTTTATAATAACATATCTAATAATATAATATACATTTAATTTGTGGTGGATTTTTATTTTAAATGCAGGCTTATCACATAAATAAAAGAATTGATTGATAAGTTTAAAAACTGAAATTGAAAGGACAAAAAGATGGTCAAACTTAGAAAAGAGATGTTGGTGCAGTCCAACCCGGAACACTATTCGGTAATTGGGTCATATCTAGAGTTGTAGATCTCAGATTTAGATATACTTTTTATATATAGAAAGGTAAGACATAGACCTACAAGTTTCATATAGAGCTCAAGATTTAAAAAAGTCATTTTCAAGTCCAAATTATAGCAATAACAAAGAAATTCGAATCTGTCTTGTATCCCGAGTATTGTTCAATGTTTGGCCCATATCTGAAGTTTTAGAAGTCCAAATGACCTCCATTTTTTTTCCTGGAAAGCTAAAATAATTCCCTACAACTTTCATGTTTTTAAGTAGTTCCAATTATGACATTATCAATGATGTTTTAGGCAGATAAGAGAAGATAAGAATTGTCACCAAGTCAAAAGTTGGTCACCCACTCATCAATTAGTCATCAAATCAATAGTTTTCAATTTTGGCCTATAAAAGGAGGCATTTGTCATGCATTTAGACATCTTGGTTTCTAGATCAAGATCATGCTCTTGCTTTCTCTCTTTATATTTTTTGTATTGCTTATATTTTACTTTCATTAATATTAAGTTTATGCTTTTTATTTCCTTTCATTTACTTAGTTAACTTTTATCTTATTTATGTTTTTATTTTATTTATTTATTTTTCTCTCTTTCATTATGTTTAGCTAAGTTTATTATGTCAAGGTGAAAAGGTTACACTAATGGTGTAAAAATAAGTGTAATGTAAACTCAATATGGACTTTAATGTTTGATACTAACATGTTTTGTATTTGTTATCTTGTTCACTCTTTAATACTTTGCTTGTTAAATGATTAATCTAGATTTATGTTGTATAACACTTGGTACAACAAATGCTTGACATTTTTCATAGCCCATACTGTATGGTATAACCGACACTCGAGTTATGAAAGGAACTTGATTTGTTGTTAACATAAGTTACAATCATGAATGCCTGACGAGATTTACAAGTATTAGCATTAATCAAATAAGATGACTAGTGTAATCATGTTAATAATTTATCATCTGATTGGAACCTCCTTTGTGTGTGGTTTCCAATTGAATAATAAGAGTTTATATTATACTTGTTTGACATACCATTAGTGTATCTTCTAACCTTGACGTTATTGTTATCATTGTTGAATACTTACATTAATCTTTCATCTCAAAGTTCTTATCAATGTTTTCTTTTTCTTTTATTATTATTATTATTACTATTACTACTACTATTATTTTTATTTTTATTATTATTGTTACTATTGTTGTTGTTATTGTATTATTGTTATATATAATTTATACAATTAACCTCCTTGTGGTTCGATCCTGGTCTTGCCGGGTTATTTATTATTTTGACACTCCTGCAATTGGAAGAAGACATCAATTTTTTGGTCGTGTCACAACTAGTTTTTTAAATTATTTTAATATATTGAAATTAAAAATAAAATAAAATAAAATATTATTTTAATATATTTTTTTAAAAAATACTTCATAAAAACCTAAAACTTAAGCCTCAAATGAGGGTTATGTGTTGGCTTGTGAATGAGGTAAGAGAGAATTTTTTATGCTTATGTGATTTTTCTATAATTCAACTTTCATTTTCATTTTTTTATACACATTTAGTAAATGAAATTGCAAGGATATCTCATATGAGTTAGAAAAATTATAAATAATAGTAAGTTCTAAATTTAAAAAAAAAATCAATTTTATTTAAATATGATAAAAAAAATAGCTACCATTCCAAACATATACAAACGGAGTAGCTTTTCATATGTTTTATCCTTGTAGCAAACATACCCTCATCAGCAGAGAAATCAAGTAATGAAAAAAGTACTTATATTTTATATTAAAAAATACATTTAGGAGGCATATGTTTTGTGTAATTTTTTTCATGAATGGATGAAATGTTTTACATGATAAATAATTTATGATGTTCAATAAGTTAAATGAAAAAAAAAACAACGATAATGGAATAATGTTGAATTGATGGTGGTGATCTATGGGAATGATTAAATAAGATATTAATGCATTCAAATAAAAAGATTTAAAAATCCACAAAATAGATCTTAATTCCTTTCTAAAATAGACCGAACAAGAATATCTTTTGAACTCAGGCTTAATATCCTAAGGATAAAATATAGCAAGGGGCCCAATGAGAAGCCCAACTCCTTAAAGGACATGAGCTCAAGTAAGAAGCCTAAATTTAGAGGTGAGCAAAAAAACTAAAAAACCAATTAAACCGAGAAAACCAAAAAAAATTAATTGAAAAAATTGAATCGTGAAAAAAAAATGATTAAACTAGTTAGAATTTTTTAAAAAACCGATCAATTTAGTTTTATAAGCCTGGAACCTAAAAAACCGAACAGAACCGAACCCAAACTGAAAAATACCAGAAAAAACCGAGCCAAACCGAAACTGGTCATTTTGAACTGATTTTTATTATAAAATAACCAAACCAAAACTAGTAGGTTTGAACCAGTTTCGGTTTGGTTTTTTAAATAAAAATCGGTTTGGTTATTTTTTTTATAAAAACCGAAGCGAACTGAAAAGATCACCTATACCTAAGCCTATGCAAGGTGCACGCCTACTAGGTGTGCTATTACGCCCAACATGGGTGTGCACCCCTATGGGCTCAAGCATTCATACCCAAACCCTACATGCTCGGGCTCGAGAGCCTAACGTGCTTGAATCGAAGCAATGTGTTTGGACCTATTTCTCACCTCTAATGGGCCTAAGTCCAACATTCATCATGGATTTTTTTAGGACCCCACATGGATCCTTTAGTATTTTATATTGGTCCAATACAAATTATTTTGAGTAAAATATAACTCAAAATATCATAAAGGTAAAATTACACTTCGGCCCTTCCTCTCCATAAAAGGATAAGCTTCATGAATTATAAATAAATCATGAATTCTTCAAGTTAAATGTTCATAATCTTTTCATTCTCTACTGTATATGTATTTTCAAAGCATCTCTCTTTATAATATTATTACACTTTCTCTCTTTATAAAGTCATTGACTTTACTATAAAAGAGTCTCTACATCCATTAAAAAGAGTTTTTTACAGGTATCGGCTACTGATCACCTCGCATACCAGACATCATATGTTAAAAGTTACCTACCCTTTAGGCTTTTTATATTAAGTCACCAAATACCTTTGTTATAAGGAATGAATTCGATTGCTTGAAATAAGATATTAGCTAATTATCTAATACACCAACTTTATATCTAAATATCTTGGATTTTGGGGCTTATCAAATACAAACTTGCATAGGTAAAAATGTCTAAGCATGAACAAAATGGAATAGAAAATTAATTATGAAAAAAAAATGTATACAGACATAAGAAAACTTGAACATTTTACAAGACTTTCGTAGAACAAAACAATCATTTTTCTATTATATACTCAACTTATATTTAAATATGCTTTTATATAATTAATTTAGTTTTTTAATCCAGATTATGAAATAAATTCAATAAATATTAAAGATCTATAATAAAAATAAATCCTTGATATAAGAAAATTAAAAACACAATAATTAATCAACAAAACTCTAAAAGTAGTGATCAATTTTAAATTTATAAGGCCATTAACTTATACCTTTAATCTCAATTAATAGATTAAGTCATTTGATTTTTTATTATTAAAGTGTGAAAGGTTAGGAAAAACAGAGTCATCTTGCATGCACTGAGAGGTTATGAAAAAGAAAGGAGTTACAGTTTGTTATTAACATAATTACATTAGTTATTTTATTCGAATAATGCTAATACTTGTAAATATTATTAGATATTCATGATGTTAACTTATGTTAATAACAAATCAAGTACTTTTCATAGCACAGGTGTCAATTATACCATATGGTTGGCTATGAAAGTACTAAGTACTTATTGTACCAAAGATTATACAATATAAATCTAGATTAATCATTTAACAAGTAAAGTATTAAAAGTGAACAAGATAACAAATACAAAACATGTTAGTATCAAAT